CCCCCCCCCCCCCCCCCCCCCCCCCGAAACTTCTGAACGCGAACAAATATAATCCTAACTGATTGAACCTCTCTTCATACATCAGTCCTGACATCCCAGGAATCAGCCTGGCAAACCTTTGCTGCACTCCCTCTATAGCAAGAACATCCTTCCTCACATAAGGAGACAAACCTGCACACAATATTCCAGCTGTGGTCTCATCAATGTTCTGTACAATTGCAGCAAGACATCCCTGCCCCTGTACTCAAATCCTCTCGTTATGAAGGCCAACATATCATTTGTCTTCTTTACTATGTGCTGTACCTACACACTTAATCTCAATGACTGGTGTACAAGGGTCTTAGTACGATGCTCTCTCTGTTCATAGCCATTCAAATAATAACCTGCCTTTTTTTTTTTTAAACCAAAGTGGATACCCTCACATTTATCCACATTATTCTGCATCTGCCATGCATTTGCCCACTCACTCAGCCTGTCCAAATCACACTGCAGCATCTCTGCATCCTCCTTACAGTTCACCCTTCCACCCAGTTTTGTGTCACCTGCAGGTTTTGAGGTATTATGTTTCGTTCCCTCATTTAAATCGTTAATATATTTTGTGAATAGCTGGGGTTCTAGCACTGATTTCTGTGTACCCCACTGGTCAATGCCTGCCATTCACTTAAAGATCTATTTATTCCAACTCTTTGTTTCCTGTCTGTTAACCAGTTTTCTGCCCAATTCAATACATTACCTCCAATTCCATGAGCTTTAATTTTACATGTTAACCTCTTATATGAGACTTTGTGAAAAGTTCAAATAAACCATATCTACTGACTCCCCACCCTCCCCAATCCACTCTACTTGCTGCATCCTCAAAGAATTCCAGTAGATGTGTCAAGCATGATTTTCCTTTCATAAATCCATGCTGACTCTGTCTGATCCTGCCACTGTTTTCCAAGTGGAAATAAAGAACTGCGGATGCTTCCGTTCTGAAGGGTCACTGGACCCGAAAGGTTAACTGATTTCTCTTCACATGCTGCCAGACCTGCTGAGATTTTCCAGCAATTTTCTGTTTCTGCTACTGTTTTCCAAGTGCTCTCCTGTTCAATCTTTTATAATGGACTCTAACATTTTCCCCAGTATTGATATCGGGTTAACTGATCTATAATTCCCAGTTTTCGTCTACCTCCTTCTTTTAAATGGAGGGGTTACACGAGCTACCCTTCAATCCATAGGAACTCTTCCAGAGTCCAAGAACCTTGGAAGGCTATTTGGGGTCACTTCCTTAAATACACTGGGATGTCAATTATCAGGCCCTGGGGATTTATCAGCCTTCAATTCCATCAATTCCTCCGACACCATTTTCCTACTAATTCAGATTTCCTTCCTGTCACTAAACCGTGCTCCACAACATTTCTGGTATGTTGTTTTTCCTTCCCTGTGAACTCGGAACCAAAAAATGCCATTTCTTTGTTCCTATTACCTGACTGTAAGGGACCTGTATTTGTCGTCTTTATTTTTCTGTTCATGTACCTATAGGAACTTTTAGTCAGTTTTTATGTTCCTTGCAAGCTGCTCTCATACTCTGTTTTCCTTTTCTTAATCAGTTCCTGTGCCCTCCTTTACTGAATTCAAAACTGCTCCCAATCCTCCAAGTTTGTTTTTTATTTCCAGCTAAATTGTATCCCTCTTCCTTGGATCTAATGCTATATTTCATCCATGTAAGCTATGGTTTGGCCACCTTTCCCAATTAAATGTTGCACCAGACAGGAAAAAACAATTGTTGCAATTCACCCCTGTGCTTTTTTAATATTTGCTATTGTTTTTCTATTGTCATCCCTTTAAGTAACGTTCCCCAGTCTATCATAGCCAACTCGCGCCTTGTACCATTGTAGTTTCCTTTACTTAGATTGAGGACTCTAGTCATTCTCCAACTTGATGAAGAATTGTATAATATTATGGTCGCCCATCCCCAAGGAACGTCACACAACTAGACCATCATTTGTTCCTTTCTCAATACACAGTACTCAGTCAGAATGGCTTGTTCTATAGTTGGTTCATCAACGTATTGGCTCAGAAAACCATCCTGTATACAGCCCAGAAATTCCTCCTATATGTATTGTCATTAATTTTATTCTTCTAATCTATTTGCAGAATAAAGTCACGCATAATTACAGATGTTCCTTTACCACATGTACGGCTAATTTTCTGTTTAATGCCATTCCCAACATCACCACGACAGTATAGGGGTCTATATAAACCCCCTACTAATGTCCCTTAGTATTTCTCACCTTTACCCATACAGATTCCACATCATTAGATCAAAGATCCTTCCTTACTTAATTTCCTCTCTAACCAGCAATGCAACTTCACTGGATTTTCCTTTTTTGACTGTTTTTCCTAAATCCAGAATACCCCTGGGCAGTCAGTTTCCATCCCTTGTCACCCTGCAGCCATGGCTCTGTAGTCCCGACAATATTGTACCTGTTTTCATCTATTTGCACAATTAATTCATCCAGTTTATTGTGAGTATTCCACACATTAGTGCAAAAAGCCTTAAGGCTTGTCTTTTTAACATTACTCGTCCCATTCCCATTATTTTCTACTGTGTTCCTGTTTGATCCTGGCCCTTGATTTCTCTGCCAATCACTTTTTTCTTATTCCCCATTTCTGTTTATTCTTCTTCGATTCCCATTCCTCTGACTCCATGCATAGATTCCCATACCCCTGCCATTTTAGTTTAAAGACTCACCAGCCACTCTCTTTCGAATACTTCTCTAGGGCTTCGGTCCCAGACCTGCCCAGGTCTAATCCAGGAACCTTACTGTCTCTAATCCCGTGCTGTCCCTGTCCTGGGTGTGTTTGATGGGGACAATGTAGAGGAGCTTTACTTTCAGTTTAACAGACTAGAAGGAGCTTTACAATGTATGTAACCTGATGCTGGTTGAGCCCAGGTTTGTAGTGTTTGGATATTGGGTTTAGTTTTATTGAGGTGCTGCTGCTCTTTGGGAGTCCTTCAAACTAAAACAGTGACTGAGACCCTAGGGACTATGTCTGTCTGGATAAACTGTGCTGGCTGTTTTCACAGACTCACCAAAGCTGTGGCAATGGACTGTGAGATGGTTGGTGTGGGTTCAGATAAAGTGGACAGCATTCTTGCACGTGTATCCATTGTGAACCAATTTGGAAAATGCATTTACGACAAATATGTGAAACCAACAGAAAAAGTGACAGATTACAGGACCTGGGTTAGCGGAATACGACCAACTGACTTGAAGAATGGTGAGATGTCTTCTTGAATCTGTAATTTTAAAATATTTATACAAAAATTTCAAAAAAAAGATTTTGGTGGGTCATTGGAAAGGAGATAAGTGAATAAATAAATTAACAAATTGACAAATACATCAGAATAGCCCAGAATTTCAAAGACATTACAGCAGGGAAACATTCTGTGCCATCAGTCCAGTTATCCTATACTCCCCAAAGCCATATCCACAAGCCACAAGTCAGGAGTATGATGGAATACTTGCCACTTGCCTGCATGAGTGCAGTCCCAACAACACTCAAACTTGACACTATCTAGAACACAGCAGCCTGCTTGATTGGCACCACATCCAGTCCCTTCACCACTGACACTCAGCGGTAGTGTATATCATTTACAAGATGCACTGTTGAAATTCACCAAGGTTCCTTAAAACAGTATCTTCCAAACCCACAACGACTTGCATCTGCAAGGACAAGGGTGGCACATATTTGGGAACACCAGCCCCTGCATGTTCTCCTCCAAGCAAATCAGCATCCTGTCTTTGAAACATATCACTATTTCGTCAGTATCACTAGGTCAAAATTCTGGAAGAACCCCCTGCCACCCCCCCCCCCCCCAATTGCATTGTGGATCTACCTACAGCACATGGACTTCAGCTGAAGAATTTAAATCACAACTGTTTTCTCAAGGGTAATTAGAGATGGGGAATAAACGCTGGTCCAGCCAGTGACACCCACCTCCCAGGGGCGAGCAAAAAAAAAACTGTCTGTGCTCCTCCAATTCTGTTATTTTGTCCATCTCTTACTTTATTTGTTGTGCTCTTAGTGGCCATCCTTGCAGCTGCTTGAGCCCTGATCTCTGGAATACTCTCCCTCAACCCCTCTGCCTCTCCTTCCTCCTTTAAGACACCCATTATGATCTATTGTGTGGCCAGACATTGATCTCCACTCCTGGAGTGGAATCCTGGTATCTGGTTATGTATGGAAGGAACAACTGAGAAGATAAATGAGCCTATGCTTTTCTTTTGACACTCGAATGGGATGATGAAATAAAAGAGAATGAGGAGATTTAGGCAGTTTGGTGAGGATAACTCCAGATTAGGGAAAAGATGATAAGATCCCACATCAACATTGTCAGCAACATGGTCAGGAAGCGACAAAGTCATGATTATTGATATTGAACTTCTCGTGAATAAGTGTCCTATTTCAAATTCAGTTGTGTTTCTTCCTCCGTAGTGCTGACAGTGCTGAGTATTTCCAGCACTTTCCATCTTTTTGTTTTTCAGCATCTGTAGTATTTTACTCTGATGTGAGTATTTGAACTTGTAGAGCGAGAGTCTTTATCCCTTGTGTATATTTGAAACTGATTTGACCATTTTTGACCTGGTTTGGCTTTACTTTTAGGTGAAGACTTCAAAGTTGTGCAGAGGGAGGTTGCAGAAATCTTGGAAGGCAGAGTGTTAGTTGGTCATGCTGTCCACAATGATCTCAAGGTCAGTACCAACAGTGGATGGTTCAGTGTTTGTTTGGGGGGTTTGACAGGGAACGTAGGATAATTCCTCTCCACAGTAAAATTTGTAAAATAAAATAAAATAACTTTCAAAGTATTTTTTTTTTTTTGGATAACCCAATCCCTTTCCCTGCTTAAAGGGTTCTCAGCTGATACCACTACAAAATATTGTTTTGGAGCACATAGGAAATAGGAGTAGGAGTAGGCAATCCAGTTTGGTCATGGCTGATCATCTACCCCCCTGCCAGTTTTCCTCAATATCTCTTAGTGCTTTAGAATTCAAAATCAATGGCTGAGCTTCCACAGCCTTAAAGGGCAGAGGATTCCAAAGATACAGCACCCTTTGACTGATGAGAAACCACCTCATCTCTGTCTTAAACCGCCTTTATCCTGAGACTCCGCTACCTGGTTCTAGATTCACCAGCCGGGGGAACCATCCTGGCCACATATACCCTGTTATACCTTGTGAGAATCTTGTACATTTCAATAAGATCCTGTCTCATTGTTCAAAATTCTAAGAAATACAGACCTAATCTCTTCAGTCTTTCCTCATAAGGCAAACCTGCCAATCTAATGGATGAGTCTGGTGAATTCCCATTGCACTCTCTCCGTAGCAGATGCATTCTTCCTTTGATGAGACCAAAACTGCGCGCACTATCTCTCGTGTCACCTTTCTGACTCGGATGTCCTTGAGCCTCTGGGTGGGTGGGGAGGGACAGGATATCAGAAGCAAGGTCCTACTGAGCCATTGCTTCCAATTCTTGTCCTTTGGCACAAAGCAGCAACCAGCTTATCGTACTGAATAGAAACGTTGAAGAGAATTCAAGGGGTTTGAACCCTCGTAACGACACAAGTAGAATTAATCTATTGGGGTTTATCCTGCTTATCAGTAAATCAGCGAAAATTGATCCATCTCCATGACACTGAAACCCTTACTGAAGGAGAGCATCCTTGGACGGGATCGTCACTTTAGGAAATGTGGCAAAGGTGTGGTGGTTGGGTGTGAAATGATCAGCATCTGTACAGCCTCTTTCTCTCCACACCACCAGGGTTTGCCCCACCTCTCCACTGACTCAGTGGTGCATGGAGTCCATACATGGATAATGACCATTCTCTGCAAGTGTCAGGGTGTTTGCAGCAGTCTGTAAGGCAGTGTGCTGTCACTGGACTAATAATCCTTAGAACACTGTGGGTAATGGAATTTGAATTCATTTTCAAATAAAAATCTGGGGATTGGTAAAACTGGGCACGAAACTATCAGAATGCAATAAAAATCCAACTAGTCACTAACATCCTTTAGGGAAGGAAGTCTTGTCTTTATCTGGTCTGTACCTGTTTGTGGTTCCAGATTCACATGTGTGTTTTCTGCTGGTCAAAGACTCAAACTCAGTTCACTTGATTCAGACCCCGAAAACAAAACTTGCCACTCTCCCGGGTCACCGTCACAAAGTTCCATTTGTTTGTCAAGCCTTTCTAAATCACTCTTCAAATGCTTCAGTCTGCAATCAGCAGAGCACGTATTTTTATATAAGAATTAATATAAAAGAGTACTATTGAAAAGAGTAAGCTATACAGGCAGCTGCTGCTTGTATTTGTTGCTTTACTAATTAATACTTGTTGTCTAATTGCCACAGATTCTGTTCCTGGACCATCCAAAGAAGAAAATTCGTGACACACAGAAATACAAACCTTTCAAAACAGTTGTCAGAGTAAGTAAAGTGACATTTGGATTTACCCGTCAATCACAACTGCTTATTGAATTTGAGAAGAGAATGTCAGCAGCAGCACAGTTGTTGGTTATTAAATGTACCTGTCACTTGATTGCAAATTTATTTCATCACTCAGTTACAGAATCAAACCACCTTTTTTTTTTAAATACATTGTTTCACTGGATGTTAACATCACTAGCAAGGCCAGCATTTGTTGCCCATCCCTAATGGCCCTTAGACTGTGTGTCTTGCTCAGCCATTTCAGAGGGCAGTTCAGATTCACCTTAATGTCCATTAGGGAAGGAATCTGCCATCCTTACCCAGTCTGGCCTACGTATGACCCTAGACCCCCAGCAATGTGGTTGACTTTCAACTGCCCTCTTGGCAATTAGGTATGGGCAATCAGTGCTGGCCTAGGCAGCAACGTGTCCTCATCCTGTGAATTTTAAAAAAAATACTGGAGTCTCACACAGATTTCCTTCCCTTAGGAGCATCAATGAAACAGATGGGTTTTTATAACAAGCAACAAAGTGGCTATCATTAGACCCAGCTTTTAATTCAGCCTGTTCAAAAATGGTATCACATGTCTCTGGAGCAGGTGGGACTTGAATCTGGGCCTCCTGCCTCCGAGGCAAAGACACAATCACTGCAGGACAAGAGCCCTTCCTTAATTCCAGATTTATTAATTAAATTCAAATTCCACCAGCTGTTGTTATGGGATTTGAACCCATGTCCCCAGTGCATTTGTTAATCTCAGTCTCTGGATTATGAATCCAGGGGTAGGGGAGGACCACGATCTCAAAAGCACCCCTTACTTCCGATTCCTGCATATTCCATTAGCTTTGTAACATTATTGTTATTAACACGCACAGCCTCAAATGCCTCTTTACAGCTCAGAATCAGGCCATTCTGTCCAGATAGTTCATTCACAATAGGCCCCACCTGCTCTTTATCTTAACCCATTAAATGGCCTTCTGTTCTTTACTCCCTGAAGTGTTTATCCTCTTTAAGTTCCTCTCAAATGCATCAATAGTAGCATTTTGTGACAGGTGAAATCAGCCACCCTGGAGCTAGGGTGATTTAGGAGCATTTTTCTCTTTTTCCAGGCCAGTGCATGTTAAACATTCCGTTTATTTTCTTTTTCTGTAAGTTATTCAAATTGTTTGTTTCTCTCTCTGTAGTGTGGCCGCCCTTCCCTCAAGCACTTGTGTAGACAGATCCTAAAGGTCAAAGTTCAGGAGTCTGAACATTCCTCGGTGAGTGTTCATTGAAAGCTTTCTCACTCGCTGTGTTTCAAGAAATTCTGCAATAATTACACCCACTGTGTACAGACAGTCATTGGAATTGCTGAATGTCCATAGTGTTGTCAGGCTTTGTTACCCTTGAAATACTAAAGCATCTCAGTTAAATTGACAAGGTCCCACATGGGAAACTGAAAGACAAAAGCACATGGGATCTAGGGTAACTTGGCAAGATTAATCTAAAATTGACTTAGTGATGGGAGATGTTGGGTGGTGGTAGAAGGCTATTTGTGTGATTGCAGCCCTGTGTGCAGTGCCATTATCAAAGTGATCAGTGCTGAGCCCCTTATTGTTTGCAATATAAATATATAAAGTGATGTAAATGAAAACATGGGAGAGATGATAAATTTGCAGATGACAAATTTCTGGTCAAGTGGTTGACAGTGAGGACGAAGATGTCAAGTTACAGGAGGACATAAAAAGATTGATCAGATCAATGGCGGGTGGAATTTTACTCTGATAAATGTGAGATGATGTACTTCGGAGGAAGAAGTAAGACCGGGAAGTTCTCAAGGAATGGCAAGACAGTAGGAAGGTCAGAGAAACAGAGGGATATTAGGGAGCTTGTCAACAGATCACTGAAGGCGGTAGGACAGGTTAAGATAGTTAACGAGGCATAAGGACTCTTGCATTTATCAGTCATGGCATAGATTATGTTGGAGCTGTACAGACCTTTGGTTAGGCCACAGCTGGAGTGCTGTGTGCAATCCTGGTCACCCAACTGTAGGAAGGATGTGATTGCACTTGAGGGGGTGCAGAGGAGATTCCCCAGGGTGTTGCCTGAGATGGAGCATTTCAGCAAAAAGGGGAGGCTGGATAAGCTTTTTTTTTTTTTGTTTTCTTTTGAGCAGAGGGAGTTGAGAGGGAACTAGATAGATGTGTACAAGGGGCATGGACAGAATGATTAGAAATCAGCCGTTACCCTAGCTGAAGGGTCAGTAACAAGAGGGCACAATTTTAAAGTGAAAGGCAGCAGGTTTAAAGGGGATTTGAGGAAATTTTTTTTTTCACCCAGAAAGGTGGTGAGGTCCGGAATGCCCTGCCCAGGACCGGAGTTGAAATGGGAAACCTCACAATCTTTTAAAAAATGTTTGGATAAGCACTTTAAGGGTCAGAGAATTCCAGGTTTTGGGTCTAGTCCAAGAAAGTGGGACTATGGAAGTAGTGGCATATTTTTTTGGTAGTATGGACTCAATGGGCCAAAGGGTCTCTGATTCTATAAATTGTCTCCTTGTCATCTTTCATGTTCTGTGCCGCTAAAGATACTGCCTCGCACGGGTACAGGTACTAGTACCCCACACGCTGACTCTCACCTGGGTATGGCTCTTCCACATGCTGACTTCTCACTGCTGAGCTGATTGTTGGTGCTGATCACATTTGGGCATAAACTTGGAGGGTTCTCTGCCAGGGTTGCTGCTAGTGAACTTTCTGGGTGAGGACAGAAAATCTAATGTTGATGCCCTCTCTGGCGTGATGGCTGCTTTGTTAAACTGAAGGGGAGTCTGCACTGGTAGAACCTGTACCCCACAAGAGGCAAGTGGAAATGAGATTTTTACAAGTGCATCAGTTTGAACAAACAGGATTTGCCACCGCTGCCTGTCTAACAATGTTTTCTTTCCCCTGTTCTTATTCTTAGGTACAAGATGCTCAGGCAACAATGAGACTTTATACACTGGTGAGGCAGAAGTGGGAGGCAGAGGTGAAGGCAAAGTACAGAACAAAAAAAATAAGTTGCAACAGTGGAGAAACCAAACCTTGAAGCTAAATGTGAGAGACTTGTCAGAAAGTAACACTGAGCGAACAGTGATGCTAATCCCCAGTCCCCTCCACCCAGAGCCAGGTGATTTGTGAAAGGTCTGCTCTCTCATCAACATGACAGTTTGACAGATGAAGACTCTGGTGTGAGGTGGCAATTGTATTTTTGCTGTGACTGCTGTCAGTTGAGTAATGTAGCACACTAGCTAGATGGTGTTCAGCAAGCTGACTGTTCACTGGTAACACCATGCATATGGGTGTTTTCATACAGTAATTGACCCTGTACCAGAATGTGGACTGAATTAGGTTGGAGTTACTTCTCTTCTTGTTTGAATTTTAACTTGTAAAATCTGTACTTGTTGTTCTAGCTCTAATGATTTACAAAAATAAAATGTCTACAGAATTTTCACTGAATAATTGATCAGGACAGAACAGTTTCCACACCTGGTGTCAACTTCAAACATTCCCAGACAGGGTCAACATGAGGTTGGATACAGAGTGAAGCTCTCTCCACACTGTCCCCCATCAAACACTCCCAAGACATGGATAGCAGAGTAAAGCTTCCTCTGCACTGTCACCATCAAACAGTCCCAGGACAGAGACAGCACTAAGCAGTTACATACTGAGTTAAGTTCCATTGATAAAGCAGCCTTGACATATAACTCTTATTCTGATTAAATTCTACTTCTCTCTAGTCACCCATACTAATAGATCCTGTTCTGGTTTCTGATTAATCCACCAAGGACAGATGATTTCAAAACTTCAGAGCCTTGAAAGTCAAACAGGATGTACCAAGAAATGAATGATTTCATGGCAAGCAGTGGCAAGAATGAACAAAATGGTCAGGGAGTTGAGTCTACCTGATCCACTTGTCTGTTTCACATAAAAGGGCTGATACGTGGTAGCACTGAAATTTTTCCATTGCTGTCACTGGCCATACCAGTGAAGCAGCAAAGGCAGAACTGGTGATGAATATTGGGAATGATTTTAATTCTTCCTGCACTCCTCTGGAACAGATCTAGAACATACTTCATTTGACCTTTTTATGGATCCAAAGGGGCTCACCATTCAGTCCGCTGAACTCAAATCAAGATGTGTTTAACAGGAAATAGGTCAGTGTCAGATTCTTTGACATGGGTGGCATAGAGGCTCAGTAGTTAGCACTGCTACCCCATAGCACCAGGGACCCAGGTTCAATTCCAACCTTGGGTGACTGTGTGGAATTTGCACATTCTCCCTGTGTCTGTGTAGATTCCCTCTGGGTGTACCGGTTTCTTCCCATTTGCCAAAGTTGCACATGTTGGTGGCTTGGCCACGCTAAGTTGTCCCCAGTGTCCAAAGAGTTTAGAGGGATATGAGTCAAATGCTGCCAAATGGGACTAGATCAGTTCAGGGTAACTGGTCAGCGTGGATGAGTTGGACCAAAGGGTCTGTTTCCATGCTGTATAACTCTGATATGACTGGATTTGGCCATTCTGACTTGGAAATATATCACCATTCCTTCAGTATTGCTGAAGGAAGCTTTGGACCTCCCTTTGCAACTGCACTGTGGGTTTAACTACACACTATGGCTACAGTCATTCAAGCTGGGGGATTACCACCATCCTGCTATGGGTAATAAATAGCAGCCTATCAGTGAAGCCCAATCCAGTCAATAAATCAAAGAAAATTATACAGTCATTGGTTGCTGTATTTTAGCCTTGGCCTTGTGGATGAGAGAGAAACAGGTATAGAGTCAACAGCACTGAGATGCTCTGAATAGCTCTCCAACAACTGCATCTATTTTTAAGATTGTAATTGGTCTAGGTAACCACCGAGTGGGAGGACATTCTTTCTCAGAGACATAATATCAGAATAATGAACTATCATTGACATGAGAAGATGAACTGGGAATGTAGAGTATTTCGAGTCTTTTTTTCTGATTTCCAGCAGCTGCAGTAGTTTGCTGCTGCAGAGTGAAGAATGCAAACACAACTGCAATTCTGATACTAGGAGGCAGGATTCTTTTGTCAAGGAATAAGCCGTTCCGTTTGTTGCTATTTTGTTAGTTGTGATCACACAGACTAAAATTTGTATTTCTCTAGTGGCTTTCACAACACTGGGAAGTCCAATGAGGTTCATAGTTGTCAAAGTTTTTTTTTCAGTGTAGTTACTGTTGTAATGCAGGAAACATGGTAGTCAATTTGTGATCACTAAAATGGTAATAACTGAATCATCTCTTGAGGAATAAATTATGGCCCACCATACAAATTCCCTGAACGTCTTTGATTAGCACCTTTTAAGTCCACTCAAGGGAGCAGATAATTCCCAAATCTAATGTCCCATCTGTGGCATAGTGCTCCCTCAGTAATGTTACTTTAATAGTGTGGTGCTCCCTCAGTACTGAGCCTCAGACAATGTGGCACCTCCTTCAGTATTGACTCTCAAACAATGCAGCGCTCCCTCCGTACTGACACTGGGGGAGTCTCTCTGCAATGAGATCGGATCCCAGTTCTATTTGAATGGAGACTTTCCTGCTTCTGTGTGAAGCTCCAAAAGAAACACATTCATAACAAAGGTGGGGAGTTGAGGGAGAAGTAATATGATTCAGGATATTAACCAAAAGTTCTGAACTTTCAGAGGGAGTGTGGTTATTGTGAAGCTTGAGTTGCGACAGCCTGCAACAGTCTGAATCGCTGCTTGTTTGTGTTGTTCAGATTGACAGCACCTTGTGAGCTGTCTGTGACTGAAGATCAGTGTTGAAGAAGGAAAGTGTAATCAGTACTGACAATCCTCGGGGCTCATTCTTCTGTTTATTAAAAACATGATTTTAAATTAAATAGAGTCCCTAGTGTTTCTGTTGTCTTCATTCTGAGCACCTGCCTCTGCTGCCTGCAATTTTGAAAGTGTAGAATCCAGCACAGTGACAATGTTCTGAAGGGAGGGTGAGAATGTCCACAAATTAGCAATTTGTTACTTCCCTATTTCCCCTGCAGAGTTCATGACTCAATGTTCTCCTCTTATTGCAAGTGCTAACCATCCTGGAAACTGTCCTTCCAAGACAGGCTAATTGTAGAAAATAACAGGAGCCCATTCAGCCCCTCAAGACTGTCATTCTAGTAAACCATTGATATAAATCTCTATTAATTATATGAGTAATGCTGCAGAGAAAATGAGATAATATTTAGGTCAATGACCTTTTGTCAGAATGCAAATATTTTACTTGGTGTCTTTCTCTGCACACGTTATACTTGATCTATTGACATTTTCCAATATTTTCTGTTTTTAAATTTCAGATTTCCAGCATCCTTTTTTTTGTCTTTGTGCTTAAATCCATTAATCTGCTTCTGCCCTGTATCCTTCAACACCTTTCCTCAATAAACAATCTACAGTTCTGAATATTTCAGTTGGGCCTCAGCCCCTATCGTTCAGGGATTTGGAGGAAGTTCCAGATTTCCTTTTATTTCTTTCATGACTACACCCCTGCCATTCTGCACTTCACACAAGATGAAATAAATTCACACCACTTGCCTTATCAAATCCTTTATCTTAAACTTCACCATTAGGATCGCCCTTTAAATTTTTGTATTTGAAGGCATGCCAGACTGTGCAAATATCCTGAATTTAAACAAATTGCTGGTGAAGTTCAGCAGGTCTGGCAGCACTTGTGGAGAAAATGGAGCGTTAATGTTCTGGGTCCGGTGACCTTTCCTCAGTTGCTTTCATGTCACTGGACCCGAAATGTTGACTCTTGATTTCTCTCCACAGATGCTGCCACACCTGAAGAGCTTTTCCAGCAATTTCTGTTTTGTTTCTGATTTAAAGCATCCGCAGTTCTTTACACTTTTATTTCATGCTGATTTTAACCCATTTCACTTTACTATCATCCCCCGCACCAGCTCATGGACAGGGCTATCCAATTATTCCGATTGCCTTAGCCCCACTCTTCCCCAAAGTTTGGCAATTTCTCCTTTTCAAGTATTTTACCAAGCTCTTTTTGAAATTTTCTATTAAATCTGCTTCCACTGCCCTTTCAAGCAGTGTGTTCCAGATTCAACTTCGGGATTTATACTGTTTGAGTCTGACCTGAACAATAGATTTTGGTTTATGTTGGCTAACCTGGACTATAACATTGGAGGACCTGCACAAGATTTGACTCTCACCTCGTTTGAAGCAAATTTGACTTTGATTGCATTCAGTGTTACATCTAGTTTCTGAGAGATGAGTTCAGGCACCACATCCTCTGAAACAACACAACAGGGATTAGCTTTATTGATTAACTGAAAAACCCGTTTCTGTAGGCTCCTTGCTGCAGTGTGCACACCACCACCACCCCACACTCCTCCCTTCTCCCATCTCTTCCCCATCCCACTGCTCTCCATCACATTCATTTCTCCACCCAACTCCTTCCCTACCCCATTTCTCTCCCCCCTCCTTGCCTTGATCTCTCCCCACTACCTCATCCCACTCTCACTCCACCTTCCACTTCCTACAATCCTCCTCTCTTCACCTCGCTCAGTTCCCCCCACACTCCCTGCCTTCTACCCACTCCTCCTAACCCCGCACATCTCCCCCCTCCCTTCCCCACCTAATCTTCCCCTTCCACCATATTGTACTCCACAATCAGCAGACGTGAACCTACTGTACTGCACCATTTCCTGAAACACCATGCAGATATCCTGCACCACCTCAGGGTCAGTGAAGTGGCTGTGGTAACTCTGAATGAGCAGGGCGAATCCATCCCGACCGCCTTCTGGCACCAGGATCCGGAAAGCCACAAGCTCTGAAAGGGAGAGGATATGAGCTGGTTAGTTCAAAGGAAACTGGGTGAGACTGATTCGTTACCCCCATCCCCTTTGTAAATCAAGGATCAGCACAGTGTCACTGGAGTCTCTTGTTTCTTCCCTCATTGCACCCTCACTGTGCCCCCACTTGATCCTCAGGATTTCAAAGCTCTATTGTTGTGTTCTGATTTTTTTCTATCCTGTTCTTTCCAAACTTGGACTCATGGAGTGAGAGCCTTGACATTTAATTTACATTTTCAATAGATTAACTACAATTTAACTGTTTGGTTGAAGAGTTGTCCTCTATCTCCTTTGTTTGTCAGAAGTGGGAATGTTCTTGATGATTACAGTGTTCAGTTCCATTCTTCAGATAATGAAGCAGTCTTTGACCATGACTTGGATCATGATTCGTGTAGATAAATAAGTAATGAGTAACATTTGCCCAAAGAAGTGGCAGGTGATGATCATCTCCAATAAGACAGAATCTAATAATTTCTTCTTGACTTTCAAATGTACTACCTCCACTGAATCACCCACTATCAGTAACTGCTCGCTATTGTACACTAGGAACTGAACTGGACTAGTGTATACACATACATATAAATAAAACAGCTACTTATCTGGAACCATTCCTCTAACCTTTTAAGCTTTGCCCATTGAATTAAGAGACGATCTTTAACACCTACCTGACAACCGAATTAAGCTTGACAGAGCGAAGCAGATATTTTTCACAACGGTTTCTTTTCGCAGGTGAAGGTCAAAAGCTTCAATTAAGAGCAGGGTGATCTCCTCCAATTGCCCATCATTCAGGGGCTCTGAGAAGAGAACATGAACATATGAGTGTTCAAATAACGTAACTATCAAAGTATGCAGACCGGTAAGAAGCAGAGATGGAATGTGTAGACTTGGCATTTGTGCACACGGAATGTGACATGCGGTGATTATGTACACATGGACTAGGACATGCAGTGGATATGTCAGAGTCATACAGCTCTGAAACAGACCAACCTATCCATGCCGACCAGGTTTTCCAAACTAAACTATTCCCATGTACCTGTGTTTGGCCCATATTGTTCTAAACTTTCCCATTCATGTACCTATCCAAATGACGTAACCATACCCTTATCTAACACTTCCTCTGGCAGTTCATAAGTGCACGTGGACTGGGACATGAAGTATATGCACACGTGGAGTGGGTATGTGCACGTGTGGACTAGGACACGCAGTGGGTATTTGAACATGTGGACTGGGACACAGTGGTTATCTGCAAACATGAACTGAAACATGCAGTGCACATGACTATGCACAAAGTTGTACATATGCGTGGACTAAGACATGCAGAAACTCTGCACATGTGGACCGCGACAGAATTTGGCTACATGCTATGCAAACGTGTGTCATGTGTTGTGGATATAGATATGGCTCTCTGTTCTGTAGTATGTGCTGGTTTATGTTTGTTACGTACATGTACATACCTCATTGTGACTGGTTTCTCAGACTCACCCTGTAATGACAGGACCCACAATACTGCGCTGGCTGATTCCACCACATCACCATTCTGGATGTGCTTCTCCAGGACCTGCAGAATAGTCCGCAGCAAATGTTCCGACCTTGCAATTTGTGCATTTTCCTCTATAGGAGGGGCACCAAGAGTTCAAAGTTAGACAGTGGATCTCTCCCAGATGAGCTCTGACTGTTTAAGATCAGTGCCTGGGCTGCAGCTGAGCACCAATTCTCTCCTGATCTAGTGTCAGCAATGGTTCAGTGGGAATTACTCACACCTCTGATTCGGAAGATCATAAGTTCAACTCCTGCTCCAGAGATATGGGCACACTATCTTTAGCTGACAAGAGTCAGAAGCTGACTTTTATTAGTTTTAAATCTAAGTTCAATAGATTTCAGTTATCCAAAGTTATTAAGGGAAATGGGACAGTGTCAGGAGAATGGAGTTAGGTTGCATGATCTTGATCTAGGTTACTTGATCTCATTTAATACTGAGATAGGTTCAAAAGGACTGAATGGCCTTCACCAGGCTGTACCTTCCTATAAGGGAACACTGCAATGTAAGAGGCTCCAACTTTCATCAAATGAACATAAAAGATCCTAAAATATATTTTGAAGGTGAATAGGATGCTCTCCCCCCATGTGTTGTAATTAATTCATTCTGAAGAAATTTGCTGATGTAGGAAACAAGAATCCAAATATTTGCTTAATATTAGATTTATTTATAGAATGCATCATTACTAATGTCTACCTCCTCTCTAACCCAATGTTCCAGATGTGTCTGTTTTGAAAAGCCTGAAATTAACTAAGGAACTAGCCCTTAAAGCAACACTGGAAAAAAATCAAATCATGAAAGAACCTTGCAAATGTAAATTAAATTTTGTTTTTGGGTTTGGGTCACAGGAGCAAGATGATAGACTTTAGCCTCTGCAAGACATAAAGTCTCTCTTTATGCTCTCTTGATCAACAACACTACCAATTAAACCACATTAATCTAAATTAAAATAAATTAATGGGTAACAAAAAATCAAAAGTCAAATTTAAATTGAAAAAAAGTGTAGTGATGTGTGATAAAGTCCAGCTCCCATGATGCCCATCTGTCATGGAAGGCCTCAAGGATACCAGCAGACACTTCAAGTTCCCTTTCCAATATCAGGGCACAGAAATAACCATGGAAGTGAAACAGGCAGTTATAGAGCCAAAGAGATCTACATAGGCCCTTCCAATGGTCCACTGCCTGAATCTGATAATGGCCATGTTCACTACACTCAGGAGCAGATCCATATGGAGGTCGTCTGACCAAACATTTTGAAGGGGATGCTCCTGATAGTGGAACATTGGCTGGAGCATGTTCCAATCATACATCTGTGGAACATGGATTCCTCAAAACTGCAGAAAATACAAAAGGCAAGGGAGCCTATGAATCATATTAATCTCCCACTGTATGGGACTGCTGTGTGAAATCCTCAATCCAAGTCTCCAATGACAAAGGTAGGACTCCCACATAAGCAGCCTCCCATTAGAATCCCCTGCCACCTCCAGACAAGACATAGCATGTCCAGACAAGAGTATATGGGTGAGGAAATGGAGGATGAATTTTCTCTCTATATGTCCTCAATGTACTTAATCAATCAATGCCCTCTACCTGTATGCAAGTCCTTAACCTTAATAATACAATTAACATACAATTATCCCAGTGTTTATCCATCAATCAAGGTCATACAAAAATAAATTATCCAACTTTATCTGGACTGTGTAGAAGTAGAGTGTGTGGGCCTGAAGAAATTCTGGGGCAGAGTTCAGAGGGAGCACTAATGTGAGGGAGCAAACTGCATCCCATCTAACAACTACTCTTGTCCTTCCAACTGTTAGAGTTTGTGGCTATGGACTGTGCTGGAGAAGGAGGTTGATGAGTTACTGCAGTGAATTTTATAGGTGGCACATGCTATTGTCACTGCGTGTTGGTGATAGAGGGAGTGAACGTTCAAGATGGTGGATGTGGTGCCAATCAAGAAGACGGCTGTGTCCCTGGCTGGTGTCAAGTTTCTTAAGTATTGTTGGAGCTGCATTCATCCAGGCAAGTGAACAGTATTCCATCACACTTATGCCTTGTAGATGTTCACAGCCATTAGGGAGTGAGGAAATGAGTCACTCGCTAGAGATTTCAAAGCCTCTGTCCCGCTTTTGTAGCTATTATATTTATATAACGAGTCCAAGTCCGTTTCTGGTCATTGGTAACTCCCAGGATGTGGGCGGTGAGGAATTCAGCAATGCTAATGTCATTAAATAACAAGTGATGGTCAGTTTCTTTCGTTGGATATAATCATTGCCTTACACTTGTGTGGTGCAAAGCTACTTGCCATTAATCAGCCCAAGTGTGGACATTTTCTCGGTCTTGCTGCGTTGGTACATAGACTGCTTTACTGTATTGAGATATAAGAGCATTGAAGAAGGTATAGCACAGATTCATCAGAATGATACCATGATCCAAGGGGTTAAGCGACAAAAATAACCTTCTATTCATTTGTATATACAGACTAAGGGGTATTCTAACAGATTTTCAAAATGATCCAAGGATTCAGTAAGATGGAAAGAAACTATTCCATTTATTGTTGGGGGGAACTAAGGAAGGTAATCTTAAAGTTAGAGGCAGACAAAATTTAGGAACAATGTCAGGATAAATAAAACAAATAAAGCTGCTGAGGATCAGAGTGAAATGAACATTTCAAAATTGGGACTGAACAATCTTTGTAAGAGTATTAAAGGTTAGTTAAAAATTATTTTTTGGGATCTGGGCTTGATGCCATCTCTAATCGCCCTTGAACTAAGTGACTTGCTCAGCCATTTCAGTGGGTAGTTAAGGTCAACCACATTACTGTAGGTCTAGAGTCACATGTGGACCACATCAGGTATGGACAGCAGATTTCACTCCCTGAAAAGTATTAGTGAATTTGATGGCCTTATATGACAATCAATGATAGTTTCCTGGTTGCTATTTCTGAGATTAATTTCAATTCCAGATCCCATATTGGGATTTTAATTTGTTACTAAGAGGATTAGCCAGAGTCTCTGGGTAATTAATCCAGTGACATTACCACGACAACATCATCTCCTTCCAGCAGATAGACAGGAGCTGAGATAGAGGTTAGTCATGATCTAATTAAGTGGCAGAACGGGCCTGAAGTGTTGAATGGCCTGTTCCTGAAAAGAGCTTTGGCAATATGGTCACTTGTTGCTTCCAAGCCTGCTGTACGCACCACATGCCATAGAATTTTCAGCACAGGAACAGGCTGTTTAATCCATCAGGTTGATATTATCTTTCCTCCACTTCATTTCATAGTTTCAGCATAGTTTTGCACTCTTTCTCGAGATTATCTAGCTTTCCCTTCCTATCTTAAGCATTGGTTAGTAACTGGGTGGATAGCCTGATACTTACCGGTGACTATGAGACTGCACAGAGCGCCACAGCAGGGAATGCAGATGTGACTGTTGTCAATGTAAATTCTCAGGGTTGTTATGATTTCCTGAATCCCCTTGGCCTTCCCAATCAGTATCCTAGCTGCTTCTTTAGGAAGGAAATTAGAAAAGTCTGAAAATTTCTGAGAATAAAAACCTTCATACATTATAAACTGAACTGAGCCCAAAGCCATTAAGATCATGCCTCCAGTGCGCTGCCAAAGTGATCTTGAAACTCTCGCCCTAGCAACACTGTAGACATACATCTACCAGATAGACAGTAGTCTCCACCATCTCCTCAGAAACAATTAAGGGTGGACAATAGATACTCGCTTTGCCAGTAGCACAAACATTCTAAGAATTAACGAAGAAAATTTACAGCACAGGGTTAGATACACAGCAAAGATCCCTCTACAGTGTCCCCATCAAACAGTGCCAGGACAGATACATTGTGGGGTTAGATACACAATAAAGCCTCTCCACCCTGTCCATATGCCAATCTTTATAGGGACAGGATGTATTACAGATGTTTTGAAATCAACTTATTCAGAGATGTCATTACACACTTCTGGAGGAAGTGGGTCTTGAACCTGGGTCTCCTGATTCAGAGGTAGGGACACTACCACTATATCAGTTACAGATGAGCTGGCGCAAGTGATGTGTAAGGATGAAGATTTCACCAGCAACAAGTAGTTGATTGGTCTATGAACTAGTGACCAGTTATTATGACATAGGCCTCTTGCCTGCTAACAACTATGTGAATTGCTTTTACATAGCTGAACAGTTTGGAGGTGTGAATGTTCAGGTCAAAAGTCATTGGACCTGGGAAGAGGAGGAGGTGTTTTTGCTCTTCAGTTAAAAAGCATCTCAAGCCTGAAGATAACCAGTTTATTTCCCCTCATCAGCTGCTGTTCGCTGTTACTGAATTAATAAAGAATGAGGTCTTTATAATTGGGAACCAGTCACCCTGTGCCTCCTGAGAACAACTACAAGTACCTGGAGAATAAAGATCAAGAAGTTGCAAAAGGATCAGCAAAAGGGTCATCTCAGCAAACCCTGTGAACAGGGACCACTAGACTGCCTTCCCAGTCTTTCTCTCCACCTATCACACCCATTTTTTTTGTATATGTCTGTATGCAGAGTTTTAGCCAGTAGAGTTTTATGTCGAGGATTCATAGCTATTTATCTGTAGTTAGAATCTATTTATAATAAATATATATCCTTGTTAAGTACAGAAACCTGGTCCATGCTTTCTATCAATCTAGAAGAGGGAAAAATTGAGGAAGATTGCTTACTTTTAAAAACCTTTTAAATCACAGCTTAGGGGGATGAATGACCTACTCCCACTCCTATTTCTTACGTCCTTTCAAGAAAATGGTTGATCTCAAAACCACCTTTCTGCCACTTGCCGACACCCTTTGTCTCCCTGGTTCATCAAGAATCTACCTACCTCTTCTTTAAAAACATTCAATGACCCTGCCTCCACTGCTCTCTGGGGAAAGAGAAATCCACAGATTCACATTGCTCTAAAAGATCCTTTATTCCCATGCCCTCTAGTTCTAAACTCTTCCGTTAAGGATCTTGTAGAAAAGCGCGCACACACACACACACCAGGAATCACAGTTTCTTCAAGACCTCCTTAAAAGATGACACAAAACTTGGAAGAATTGTAAACGGTGAGGAAAACAGTTGCAGAACTTTGAAAGGACACTGACAAATTGGTAGAGTGGGCAGGTAGGTGGCAGATTTGGTTCAATGCAGAGAAGTGTGAGTGACACACTTTGGTCATAACAGCATTGAAAGACAATATAAAATACAGGGTACAATTCTAAAGGAGGTGCAGGAGCAGAGGGACCTGGATGTGTATGCGCATAGATTATTGAAGGTGGGAGAATAGGTGGAGAGAGCAGTTAATAAAGCATACAGTGTCCTTGGCTTTATTAACAGGTGCATAGAGCACAAATGCAAAGAGGTGATTTTGAAATTGTATAAGACACTTGTTAGACCTCAGCTGAATAACTGTGCGTAGTTGTAGGTGCCACATTATACGAATGACATAAAAGCACTGGGGACAGTCTGGAAGTGATCAACAAGAATGGTTTCAGGAATGAGAAATTTCAGTTAAGAGGACAAACTTAAGAAATTTGGATTGTTCTCCATAGACAGGAGAAGGTTGATAGGAGAGTTGATTGAGGTTTCCAAAATCATAAGTGGGCTGGATAGAGTAGGTAAGAGAAGTTGTTCCCACTTTAAATGAAACAAGAATGAGAAGGCACAGATTCAAAGAGATGTGCAAAAGAAACATGGGTGATGTGAGAAAAAAAACTTTCACACAATGAGTAGCTGGGATTTGGAATGCAATGCCTGGAAATGTCGTTGAGGCAGGTTCAAATGAGATATTCAAGAGGGCATTGTCTGATTATTTAGATAGAAATAGTGCGCAGGGATATGGGGAAAAAGCAGGAGATTGACACTAGATAATGATGGTCATTTGAAAAGCCACTGTAGGCACAACGAGCTGAATGGCCTTCTTCTGTACAGTAACAATTCTGCGATTCTGTGAAAAGAACATGACATATGTTAGGTGAATTCCTTAAATGAGAACTAAGTGAAATATGTTGACAGCATGGTGAAGAGGAGAGTAAAACTGGCAAAAAGATGACATAAGAAAGAATGGCAGTTATCATAAATGTCATGTCCTCTGTGCTCAGCACATTTTCTGATGATGTTTCCTCCATGGCCCTTTTCTTGGCAGAGTTTTCCATTGCCTTCCATCCTCAAGGTTAGAGCAAAGCAGTGGCTCTCAATGCTACATCAGAGTGGGAATCAACTCCATGCAGTTGGTGTTGTTCTTTATCACATATTAACCAAGTGAGCTAACCAGCACCAGCTAACCAACCCAGGACCAACTAACATAAAAGGGAGCCCAAAAAGTTAGGTTGCAGAAGCTACTGGCTTGGAGCAAAGGAGATTGAAAAAAGATTTGATCAAGATCTACGAGATTATGACAGACTCAGGTTAAGTACAAGGACATCGGGGCACAGACTTATGTCGTGGGCAAGAAAAGCATAGGTGATGTGCGGAAGAACTGATTTTAATGGTCATGTCTTGGAACTCATTGGCAGGGTATTTGTAGATAAGATATATCCCCTGACTAGTGAGTGTGGAACCATGGGCATACAGTTTAAAAATAAGATTGAGATGAGGAATTTCTTCACTCAGAGTGGTGAATCGGTTGAATTCTCTGCTACAGAGGGCTGTGGACACTCCGTCTTTAAGCAGGTTCAAGACAGAAATCAATAGATTTCTGGTAGACTAATGACATCAAGGAATTTGGAGCTAGCACAAGTAAGTGGATTTGAGTTAAATGGCCAGCCATGATCTGACTGAATGGCCAACTGGTACTTCTAGGTTCCAAACTTGTTGCCTTCGAGGGTGGTGGAAGTAGAAATGTTGAATCATTTCAAAAGTGAAAGGATGGGCATTTGAAGGAAATAAATTTGTACTGCTAACAGGGCGGAATGGCGGAAACGTGTCAGACTGGATTGACCTGCAGAGAACTGGCATGGACTTGATGGACAAATGGTCTCCTACGTTGTTATGACTCAATGATTCCGCTCCTTACACGACACAAGAACCTGATCTGTCAGTATGCAAACCTACCACTTCCTGACAGCACCATGAGGAGGTTGCAGATGACCTGCTGAAGCTCCACACATTTGCGCCGTGATGCCATTATTGAAAGGATAATATTGATCACATTTTTACTGAACAAGATACCTTCTTCCACACTGTCTTCTGTGGCTGTAAGGAATCAAGAAATAATTAGGACAACTCACAATACTTTTACAATATTCACATGAACTCACTAATTATACAAGGCCAGATGTGTGCACTGTTTTGTCAGGAATAAATATTGGATAAGAAACAGAATTATTACAATCTAGGAGAAGACCACTGGCTTCCCAAATTAGCAATTCACTTAGTGCCACTCTCCTGCCTTCTCCCCATAAGCTGTACATTCTTCCTCTTCAGATAATTGCCTAATTACCTCTTGAATGTTTTAAATGAGGGCTGCATTCATCACACTCTCAGGAAACTGTTTCTTTCTTATCTCACTTTATTTCTTCTCCTCATTCTTTTAATGTGCCCTAATTCTCGATCTTTTCTCAAGTGGGAACAGTTTCTTCTAGCCTTTGACAGGCTCCTCAGGACTTCAATCAAATCTCCTCTCAGCCTTCTCTTCAATAAAATCACTCCTAACTCTAGTCTATTTTCATAACTAAAGTTCGTCAGCCTTAGAACCTTCCTGCACTCTCCACCATGCCATCAGATCTTTCCTAACGTGTTGAACAGAACTGAACACAACAGGCTAGCTGAGACTGAACTAATGTTCTATAGAAGTTCAACATTTCCTCCTTGTTCTTGGATCCTGCCCTTATTAATAAAGCCAAGATGTTGTCTGCTTTATTAACTCTTCTCTCACCCTACTCCCCCACCTTCAATGACTGATGCACTTAAATATCCAAGTCCCTCTGTTCTCTCAAGTTTAGAGTTGTGCCCACTGTTTTTACATTTCTTTCTTGCTGTTTTTCAGACTAAAATGAATCATCACACAATTGTCCACACTGAACTTCATCTGCCACTTGTCTGCCCTTTCCATCAAACTGTCTACATCCTTTTGACATTCTACACTATTTTCATCACAACTTATAAGGTTTCCACATTTTGTATCATCAGCAAATTTTAAAATTATGCCTTGAATACCAAAATCTAGATCATTAACAACTATCAAGAAAAGCAAGGGTCTCAGCACTGACACTGGGGAACTCCATTACAAACCAAAAAAATCCATTAACCAATCACTCGTTAATTCATGTCACTTGGCCAATTCTGTATTCAGTCCCCTTTGTTCCATATCTGCGTGGATAAACTCTCCTGCTTTTTTTCAATAGTGCTGTGAGGTTTTTACATATACAACTGAGAGAACACGTGGCTTGGGATTCTCACAATATCAAAAAAATAGCATTTCTGACAGTGCAGCACTCCCTCAGTAATGCCCTTCTGACACACTCTCAGTATTGACTCACCGACAGTGCAGCATTCCCTCGGTCTTGGTCTAGTGAGACAGATTGGATTACATTCAAAACATAGAAAATAAGAGCAGGGGAATCTATTCAGCCCACCTATGCCAATCCATCAATCAACAAGATCATGGCTAATCCTCTAGCCTCACTAGCTTCCCTTACCCCATAACACTCTTCCATAAAACATAGAATTGTACAGTCCACAATGTTGTGCTGAACATGATGCCAAGTGAAACTAAACCCTTCTACTCGCCCTTGGTCCATATCCCTCCATTCCTTGCATATTTATGTGCTTATCTAAAAGTCTCTTAAATGCCCCTATTGTATCTGCTGCCACCACCATTTCTGGCAGTGCCTTCCAGAGTGTTACCACCATTTCAACTCTGGGAAAAAGATTCTGACCATCAACTCTATCTAAGTATCTTATAGTTTTATAGACTTCTATCAAGTCTCCCCTCAGCCTGAACCACTCAAAGAAAACAACCCGAGTTTTTCTAGCCTCTCCTTATAGCTCATACCCTTTAATCCACGCAGCATCCTGGTAAACCTCTTCTGCACCCTCTCAAAGTCTCCACATCCTTCCTGTAATGTAGCAACAGGAAGTGAACACAATATTCTAAACGTAGCCTAACCAAAGTCTTATAAAGCTGCAACACGACATCCTGACTCTTGTACTCAATTCCCCAACTAATAATGGCAAGCATGCCTTTACCACCCTATCTACTTACGTGGCCGCTTTCAGGAAGCTATGGACTTGAACCCCAAGATACTTCTGTACATCAATGCTGTTCAGGGTCCCGCCATTAAATGTATACTTGTTCTTAACATTTGATCTCCCAAAATGCTGCACCTCAAACTTACCCAGATTAAACTCCATCTGCCATTTCTCTACCATATTTGCAAGTGATCTAACTCCTACGTATCCTTTGACAACATTCTACACTATCCACAACTCCACTGATCTTCATATCATCTGCAAACTTACTAACCCACCCATTTACATTTTCATCCAAGTCATTTATATATATCCCTATATATATATCACAAACAACAGAGTTCCCAGCACAGATCCCTGCAGAACATCACTAGTTATGGACCTCCAGCCTGAAAAACAAACTTCCAGCAAAACCCTCTGTCTTCAATGGGCAGGCCAATTCTGAATCCATGCCGCCAAGGCACTGCAGATTCCATGCATCTTAATCTTCTGGAATAAGCCTTCCATGAGGGACCTTACTGAAATCAATGTAGACAATATCCACTGCTCTACTCTCATTGATCACCTTCATCACCTCCTTGAAAAATTCAATCAAGTTAGTAAGACCTGCCCTGCCCTGCACAAAGCCATACTGACTGTCCCTAATTAGGCCATGCTTTTCCAAATATGCATAAATCTTATCCCTAAGAATTCTCTCCAACAACGTCCTAAGACCTGAAATGAGACTCACTGGTCTGTAGTTTCTAGGATTATCCCTATTTCCCTTCTTGAACAGAGGAATAACATTAGCTACTCGCCAGTCCTCTGGGATGTCTCTAATGGCTAGCAAGGATACAAACATCTTGGTCAAGGCCCCAACAATCATCCCTCTTGCCTCTCTCAATAACCTGGGGTAGATACCATTAGGCCCTGCAACCACTCATAGACGTCCCTGACTCTGGCACCAGGGAGGCAACACACTAGCCTGGAGTCTTGGACGGACAGAAACACCTGTCTGTGCCCCTAAACTAGTGAGTCTCTGACCACCATTGCTCACTTGGATCTTGCCCGACCTTGCTCTACAGCAGATCCAGTTGTGGTGCCACAGCCCTAGCTGCTGCTTTCATACTCAGCTGAGAGACCATCTCCCCCAACAATATCCAAAACAGTATATCTGTTAGAGAGGGGAACAGCCATAGGAGACTCCTGCACTACCTGCCTGCCTCTCCTGGCGGTCACCCATCTACCTGACTGAACCTCTAATGTGACTACCTCCCTGTAACTAGTATCTATCACACTCTGCCCCATACGCTCCTCAGTATGTCCAACTGCTGCACCAACCAAACAACGCGGTCTGGGAGGAGCTGCAGACATACTCATCAGGGAGACTAGACTGCTCCCTGATCTCCCACATCTGGCAGGAGGAGTACACCACTGCCCTAACTGCCATCTCTGGCCCTTTACACTAAGATAAAAGAATCTTACTTTGCCTACCCTACTCAGTGAAGCACAGTATTCACCTACGCATGCACTTATACCAACTTGCTGTACTGACTGGTTCCCTAAACTACAGTGCAATCTTTACAAGCAGACCAAATACCCTACAGGCTACAACAAGCTTCTTGTCAGTCTTCATGACTCTCCTTTTATTTTAGTTAGAGGAGGAAGGAAGGAAGGATAGAAACACTTTGAAATCTATATATTTCTTTCTTAAACGTATTCAGCGGTGTTTGCTTCTACAGGCTTCTGTTTTTCCTTATCTCAGTGTGAAATGGCCTACAATGTGCCCTGAGACCATGATCACTTCTTCCTGAGCTTAAAGAAAGCTAACTTTGATGGTACGAGACATGCATTAACTAGGATAAGCTGGCCAAGGATATATATGGGATTGATGGCGGATAGGCAATGGCAGACATTTAAAGAACACATGGATGAACTTTAACAACTGTACATCCCTGTCTGCATAAGAGCAAAACAGGGAAGATGGCTCAGCCATGGTTAACAAGGGAAATCAGGGAAAGTGTTAAAGCAAAAGAGGCAGCATATAAACTGGCCAGAAAAAGCAGAAAACCTGATGACTGGGAGAAATTTAAAATTCAGCAGAAGAGGACGAAGGGTTTAATTCAGAAGGGGAAAATAGAATACGAGATTAAGATTGGGGAAAACATAAAAACTGACTGCAAAAGCTTCTATAGATATATAAAGAGAAAAAGGCTGGTGAAGACAAATGAGGGTCCCTTTACAGTTAGAATCAGGTGAATTCACAAAAGGACAACAAAGTAATGGCAGATCAGTTGAACAAATACTTTGGATCTGTCTTCACCAAGGAAGACACAAAAAGCTTTCAGGAAATGCTAGGGGACAGAGGGTCAAGCATGAAGGGGGAACCAAAGGAAATCTTTATTAGTCAGGAAACAGTATTGGGGAAATTGATGAGATTAAAGCCTGATAAGTCCTCATGGCCTGATGCTCTGCATCCCAGAGTACTTAAGGAAATGCCCTAGAAATAGTGGACACATTGGTGATCATTTTCAGGCATCCTATGCACTCTAGAAGAGAATCAATGAACTGGAGGTAGCTAATGTAACCCCACCTTTTAGAAATGGAGGGAGAGAGAAAATGGGGAATTATAGGCCAGTTAGCATGACTTCAGTGGTTGAGAAAATGCTGGAGTTAACTATGAAGGATGTAATAACTGAGCGTTTTGGAAAGCGGTGACAGAATTGCTCCTAGTCAGCATGGATTCACGAAAGGAAAATCATGCTTGACAAATCTTCTGGAATTTTTTTGAGAATGTGTCCAGTAGGGTGGACAAGGATGAATCAGTGGATATTGTGTATCTTGACTTTCAAAAGGCTTCTGACAAGGTCCCACACAAGAGACTAGTAAGCAAAATTAAAGCTCATGGTGTCAGAGATGATATATTCAGGTGGATAGAGAACTGGGTGGCAGACAGGAAGCAGAGAGTTGGAATAAATGGGTCCTTTTCAGACTGACAGGCAGTGACGAGTGGGGTACCACAGGGTTCAGTGCTGGGATCCCAGCTGGTCACAATATACATTAACAAATTGGACGAAGGAATTTAATGCAATATCTCCAAATTTTCTGATGACACTAAGCTGAGTGGCAGTGTGGGCTGTGAGGAGGATGTCAAGAGGCTACAGGGTGACTTGGCACAGGCTGGTTGAGTGGGCAAATAGTTGGCAAATGCAGTACAACGTGGACAAATGCGAGGTTATCCAATTTGGTGGCAAAAGCAGGAAGGCAGATTATTAACTGAATGATGGCAGTTTAGGAAATGGTGAAATGCAATGAGACCTGGGTGTCATGGTGGAACAGTCGCTGAAGGTTGGCATGCAGGTGCAGCAGTCGGTGAGAAAGGCTAATGGTGGGCTGGCCTTCATAGCGATAGGATCTGAGTATAAGATTAAGGGTGTCTTGCTGCAGTTGTACAGGGCCTTGGTGAAGCCACACCTTGAGTATTGTGTGCAGTTTTGGTCTCCTAGTCCTAGACATTCTTGCTGTTGACAAAGTCCAGCAAAGGTTCACCAGACTGATACCCAGGATCGCAGGACTGACATAGGGGGAAAGACTGGATCGACTGGGCTTGTACTACCTGGAATTTAGAAGAATGAAGGGGAATCTCATAGAAGCAAGTAAAATCCTAATGAGACTGGACAGGCTACACACAGGAAGAATGTTCCTGATGCTCGGGAAGACGAGAACTAGGGACATAGTCTAAGAATTATGGATAAGCCATTCAGGAGTGAGATGAGAAAGAAGTTCTTCACTCACAGAGTCATGAATGTGTGGAATTCTCTACTACAGAAAGCCAGTGGGGCCAGTTCGTTCGATATATTCAAGAGGGAGGTGGACATAGCCTTTGCGGCTAAAGGGATCAAGGGGTATGAAGAAAAAGTGGGAATGGGATACTGAAATTGCATGATCAGCCATGATCCTAATGAAAGGTGGAGTAGGTCTGAAGGGCCGAATGGCCTACTCCTGCACGTATTTTCTATGTTTTTAGCCATTAGGCACTAAACTTAGAACAAAAACATAAAATGCTTATCAGAGAGCACACAATCAGGCATAAGTTGCTGAGTTTTACTGTCCTACCTTTAATTGCAAACTTCAAGAATATCCGACACACCTGAGCCTGCACCTCCAAACTGCCAGCATGGTACTTCAAAACAGAGATCAGGACCGGAATGATACGTTCACTGGCTGCATAAACTGCAAAATAAACCAACAAAATTGGCATTTCACTTCTAAGCATCTCCAGTGAGCATTTGTAAGAGGGAGTGGCCCTCAATAGTTAAATAACTGGGAACATCCATCATACGAAAGTTACAAACTCCTATCTGTACATTGACTGGTTTCTCTCAGTCCCTCTCTTTCAGGAAAATATCTGTGCACTAATTTGTATACGTCCCCCTCCATAGGTCCCCCACAGTGACTCTCATTGAGGTACGGCTCTGACACACACGGTCTCTCACTGGGGTACGGCTCCCACGCGCACGGTCTCTCTGGGGTACGGTCCCACACATGGATTCTCACTGGGGTACGGCTCCCACATGTACTGACTCTCACTGGGGTATGGCTCCCAAGCTTACTGGCTCTCAATGGGGTACAGCTCCCACACACACTGACTCTCACTGGGGTACGGCTCCCACGCACACTGACTCTCACTGGGATACGGCTTGCACGCACACCTATTCTCCTTGGGGTAAGACTCCCACACACACTGACTCTCACTGGGGTATGGCTCCTACTCACTATTGTGAGACAATGCTATGGCTTTAAGAGGTATATTCCGTCGTGATTTTTTTTTGAAGAGAGATCTTGAGTCATAGGTGGTGAGCTGTCTATTCCAAGCTAATAAAGTAAACAGTTTATGAGGCCTAGAAGGTTTTCTTAAAAGTTGGAACAACAGAAGCTGCATGAACGGGTGGAGTCTGGCTCCCACAGAAGCAGGGCTTTAATTTAGCTTTCAGCTGTTGTTGGGAGTTTTAAAGTTGGGCATAGAAGCTGCTTCTCTCTCTCTTTCTACTAGAATTTTCTTTCAGCTGCCAGAATTGCATGTGAGACAATCTGTTTTACTGACTTTGCCTTTGCCAAGGGTGTTTATGGGCTGTTTCTATATTGGAACAGTTGTTGTTTGGTAGTTAAATAATCTACTATTCTGTTGAATTTTCCAGCTGCGTTAAAGGTTATACCAATTCTTCTTTCTTTTGTTTGTATTTTAACTGGGAGTGAGACTAAAGTGTGTTTTGCTTGAAGCCAATCAAAATTAACCAATCAAATTACATCTGGAACACAGCACCTTACACTTGCCCTTAAATAAGATAAAAATTAAGGTCAAGGCAATCACCTTGGTATATTTGCAGCAGGTTTGGTCTGGTCCACAACTATTGCCACTGAGTTTATGTTCATTCATGGCTTGGCTAGGCAGGCACGTGTTGCCCTAACTATCCTTGAAAAATGGGTGTTAAGCTACTATTTTGCACTGTAGCAGTCCACATAAGTTAGCTATACACACTGCTGTTGTGAATGAGTTCCAGAATTACAACCCAATGACAGTAAAGAAATGATTACATAGATCCAAGTTAGGATGGTGTATAGAATTTAGAATTATTCCCATGTATCTGCTACACTCATTCTTCAAGGTGATAATGCTCAAAATTTTAGAAAGCACTGTAGGAAAGAAACCTTCAAGAGTTGCTGTGGAACAATGCAGATGGTGGACAAGATTTGGCAGTGAGTTACCTAGCTTCTGGCCTGCTGTTGTATTTTTGTCACTATATTTATGTGGCTGGGTTAGATGTATTTCTGGTCAATGGTAATCAAAACACAAAAGCCAAGGTGAGATTTAGCGATGTAATGCTGTTGTATGTCAAGGAGAATTGGTTATGTTCTCTCTTTTTGAAGATGGTCACTACTTCGCACACGTATGACATGAATGTTATTTGCCACCTATGAGGTCATGCTGAATGTTACCCAGGTCTTGCTACATGCAAATACTGAATGCTTCATTACTTGAGGAGTTGAAAATGGTACTCAATTCTACAATTATCAGCAAACTATCCCACTTCTGACTTTATGATGGAGGTCGTTGATGAAAATATTCACAATTATTGAGCTTGCAGCAAAATCCTGGAGCTGAGCTAGAGGGATTTGGTGACAGAGTGGTTATATTACCGTAATCCAGGGGTCCAGGCTAATGGATCAGGGACATAGCTTCAAATTCAACCAGGGCAGCAAGCAATCAATACATCTGGACTTGGAAGCTCATCTCTGCAATGATGGCCGAGTAGTATTATCGCTTGACTACTAATCCAGAAACCCAGCTAATGATGTGGGGACCCAGGTTCGAATCCCGTCATGGCAGATGGTGGAATTTGAATTCAATAATTAGGAAAAAAAAGAATCGAGTGATTACCATGAAATCATTGCTGATTGTCAGAAAAACCCATCTGGTTCACTAATGTCCTTCAGGGGAGGAAATCTGCCACCCCTCACCTGATCTGGCCTACATGTGACTCCAGACCCACAGCTATGTGGTTGACTCTCAATTGCCCTCTGAAATGGCCTAGCAAGCCACTCAGTTGCACCAATTGCTACAAAGTCTCAAAGAAATGAAACCGGACAGATCACCTGGCATCGACGTAGGCACCGGAAAAGACAATGGCAGAAACAGCCCTGTTGACCCTGCAAAGTCCCTTTTTTAATCATTCATGGGGCTAGGGCATCGCTGGCTAGGCAGTATTTATTGTCCATCCTGAATTGCCCAGAGGGCAGTTAAGAGTCAACCACATTGCTGTGGGTCTAGAGTCACATGTAGGCCAGACCAGGTAAGGATGGCAGTTTCCTTCCCGAAAGGACATTAGTGAACAAGATGGGATTTTCCAATAATTGACAATGGATTCACAGTCATCATTAGACCTTTAATTCCAGATATTTATTGAATTCAAATTCCACCATCTGCCGTGGCAGGATTCGAACCCAGGTCCCTAGAATGTTAGACAACAAGGTGCAGGGCTGGATGAACACAGCAGGCCAAGCAGCATCATAGGAGCAGAGAGGCTGACGTTTCGGGCCTAGACCCTTCATCAGAAAAGGGGGAGGGGAAGGGGGTTTTGAAATAAATAGGGAGAGAGTGGGAGGCGGATAGAAGAGGGATAGAGGAGAGGATAGGTGGAGAAGAAACAAACAGGTTGAAGAGGCGGGGATGGGGCCAGGAAAGGTGAGTGTAGGTAGGGAGTTAGGAAGGGGATAGGTCAGTCCAGGGAGGACGGACAGGTCAAGGGGGCGGGATGAGGTTGGTCGGTAGGAGATGGAGGTGCGGCTTGAGGTGGGAGGAGGGGATAGGTGGGAGGAAGAACAGGTTAGGGAGGCAGGGACGAGCTGGACTGGTTTTGGGATGCGGTGGGGGG